TTTAAATTTAAGTTAAATGTAATTATACATTAATTAAGTTCATTGAATATAGCAAAATAGTTTTATACAATTTAACTATTGTACATAGAAAAGAAAATATTTATATTTGTTATGTACATTTAATAATTAAACTAGAAACTATTCCTAATTTAACGTGGGAACCCTTGTAGTCGAAATCTATAATAATATTTTATTTACAAAATTATAATCGGTCATTTTTTTATCTTGTATTTTAGTTCGTTAGATGTTAAACGCGTGACGTTAAACATTATTTTTATACTAGTGACTAGTAGTCTTCGATCTTCAAAGAGACGACCACAAAATTACAAGACTTAAAAAAACTTAAAGAGAAGTATGAGAACTTAAAAAAATGATTTTTAAACATAGTGTTTTAGAATAATATAACTTAATTAAAAAAATCATATTCATATTAAAACATTTTAATATTAAAATATTTGAATTTTACTATTTTAAATACAATACCAAGTCTAAAAATATAATTTTCTAAATCTTTACATGAATTATTTAAAATAGAAAAAGTTGATGTTATCCATTAGAAAAGATGATAAAGGAATATTAAGTTAAAATATTCTATTTCATAGAATAATGCATTATTTAAAAATATTATAAGTATAATGACAGTGCTATCTTTAAATTTAAGTTAAATGTAATTGTACATTAATTAAATTCATCAAAATATAGCAAAATAGCTCTATATAATTTAGCTAATGTATATAGAAAAGAAAATATTTATATTTATTCTGTACATTTGATAATTAAACTAGAAACGATTGTTTTAAGCAACCATGAAACGCGGGACTAGCATACAGAGAGAAAAAACTTGGATGTTTGCGAAGCCTTTGACATATGCATAACATTAACCTGGCCGCTGAATTTTTCTAAATCCTCTGCACATGCTTTCAAATACTTTAAGTGTAGTTGACATTCGATAACGATAATTGTTCAACTACCTGACTTATGCAAATCACTTAATATTCAAACATGGAATTTGTTGTCTTGATGAATGGGTGAAAACGTGTTCGATCAAATCATTGTTTTTCCCTGAAAACCTTCAACTATACTTTTGTCTAATTCGTCTTCCAAGCTGAAGGGACACAATCATGTACATTTAACTTGTAAAACTACACTCACTACTACAAAACTAGAGAGGGTTTGGTCAAGCCTAAGAGATTGTCCAAAAATGGTTGACCCAGAAGCTACGACAGCAAGGAATATATGTGCAGAGTGCTGGCATATTAACCACTGTACAATTTAGTAACCTATTCAACTCTCTTAAGACAAACACTCNAAATTTCATAACATAACTTTTTTTTTGGTCTTTTTTGAATCATTTATCTGTTAGTGCTTTAGTTTTATTCATCAAATTTGTAATTTTGGTGACAAACAAAATTATTAAAATTGATAAAATAAAAGGACACGACTGCTATAGTAAATAATTTCCACAATTGATAAAAAGAAGGAAACTGAAATGTAGAAAATAACTAAGCATGGATCCTTTCTATTATTCCAATTTTTTTATTAAGTCTTAAGCAAGTATGTGGAGTGGGACTCGTCATTCTATAGACGACAAAACTTGTGCACAAACTGAATGTTTTTTATGTTTGACATACATAACATTGATTTCGCTTGTTTGCTGACTTTTTCTAATAATTTCTGATACTTTAGGAGTTGACATTCGATCACGATAACCACAACAATTTATTCGAAAAATTTTAAATATAAAAATATATCTTATTATTATGCATACATTAAATACAATAATAAGAGTACGAAAAATTAGATAATAATGAACTAAACAATTTTAAACATGGAAGTATGGAATATATAGTGTTTTGAGGATTATGCAAAGATATTTCAATTTTATGAACCTTTTCAATCTTAATTTCGTCGTCTACTCATTATTTTTATCTTGATACTCGTTTTCTAAAAGATTGATGAATTGTGTTTGTAGAAGATTATTCGATGTTTAAGTAAGTTTTAAGTGTCAGCCATAAATTAAAATAAAACTTAATGTTCAAAAGTAAAAAAAACATCAATTAATATTATATTTATACCATAATTTAATATTCACGAGTACTTACTTTGATGGGTCTAGCTAGATTTGGGTTCAATGGCCCAATGACCCATTTACCTTGACTGAAACAATAATTAATCAAATTTTGCTAAATTTCACCATGAGTTGTACATCATTAGATTTGGTAGGCCGACACGTACTTGGCTAGTATGTAGTTCACTATTAGTTTCGGCAAGCGACACATGGTACTGGTAGAAGGCATGCAATCCTCAACGGACGACACCTACCTAATTCTGGTTGGTAGTATATATCCATAAGCAAGAATCACATGACATTCAATAAACCATTAGCTTCGGTAAACGACACATGGTACTGATAGGAGACATACAGTCCTCGACAGACGACACCTACCCAATCTTGGTTGGCAATATATAGTCATAAGCAAGAATCACATGACATTCAATAGGCAACACTTAACCTTTAGCCCGTAACTTTAAACCCTCATTATGTGGCACACGACCTTCAACATGCATCACTTAACCTTCGATAGAGAACACTTGACCCTCAACATGCGACACATGACCCTCAACAAGAAGCACTTAACCTTCAACAAGGAACACTCTGCTCTTGACAGGTGATATCCATGGTGTGTTTTATACTAAGTTACCCTAAGAAGAGATCAATGTTGATAAGGTCGATGGGTACTTAACCATGTACACTGTATTTAGAATGTAAGTGTTTGATAAATCTCTATTTAACATGTAAATCATATGAATGGGTGTAATAAATGAAGGAATTTTGGAGATTATGGTAGTAGATTCCTCTCCTTGATTTGAGTAATTTTCATTTTTGTTGTATTTTAATTATGTATCTTATCAAAAGTTACAAAGTGTTTGATTTTTTTTTCTACCAAATTTTTTGTATTCAAAATATATGATTATTCTATGAGATGTAAAGACCCTATTATTTGAAATATACATTAAAAGAATTTATCATAAAAAAATTGGGTCAAAAATCAATTTTTATTTATTTTTAATAAATTGTATAAAGTTAAATGAATATAAAATTATAAAAATACAACAAAATTGATACAACAAATTTAGGATATTGAAAACGACATGATAAACCATAAAACAAAAAAGAAAGAACAAATTGCGAGCACAAATCAACACAAACATGTATGTAATTTCATGGTGATATCAAATAATCATAAAAATATAGAACACATATCTTATTTAAACCAGTCGACATTAGACATAAAATAATGCATTATTTTAAAATATTATATAAGTATAATTATAGTGTTATCTTTAAATTTAAGTTAAATGTAATTATACATTAATTAAGTTCATTGAATATAGCAAAATAGTTTTATACAATTTAACTATTGTACATAGAAAAGAAAATATTTATATTTGTTATGTACATTTAATAATTAAACTAGAAACTATTCCTAATTTAACGTGGGAACCCTTGTAGTCGAAATCTATAATAATATTTTATTTACAAAATTATAATCGGTCATTTTTTTATCTTGTATTTTAGTTCGTTAGATGTTAAACGCGTGACGTTAAACATTATTTTTATACTAGTGACTAGTAGTCTTCGATCTTCAAAGAGACGACCACAAAATTACAAGACTTAAAAAAACTTAAAGAGAAGTATGAGAACTTAAAAAAATGATTTTTAAACATAGTGTTTTAGAATAATATAACTTAATTAAAAAAATCATATTCATATTAAAACATTTTAATATTAAAATATTTGAATTTTACTATTTTAAATACAATACCAAGTCTAAAAATATAATTTTCTAAATCTTTACATGAATTATTTAAAATAGAAAAAGTTGATGTTATCCATTAGAAAAGATGATAAAGGAATATTAAGTTAAAATATTCTATTTCATAGAATAATGCATTATTTAAAAATATTATAAGTATAATGACAGTGCTATCTTTAAATTTAAGTTAAATGTAATTGTACATTAATTAAATTCATCAAAATATAGCAAAATAGCTCTATATAATTTAGCTAATGTATATAGAAAAGAAAATATTTATATTTATTCTGTACATTTGATAATTAAACTAGAAACGATTGTTTTAAGCAACCATGAAACGCGGGACTAGCATACAGAGAGAAAAAACTTGGATGTTTGCGAAGCCTTTGACATATGCATAACATTAACCTGGCCGCTGAATTTTTCTAAATCCTCTGCACATGCTTTCAAATACTTTAAGTGTAGTTGACATTCGATAACGATAATTGTTCAACTACCTGACTTATGCAAATCACTTAATATTCAAACATGGAATTTGTTGTCTTGATGAATGGGAGAAAACGTGTTCGATCAAATCATTGTTTTTCCCTGAAAACCTTCAACTATACTTTTGTCTAATTCGTCTTCCAAGCTGAAGGGACACAATCATGTACATTTAACTTGTAAAACTACACTCACTACTACAAAACTAGAGAGGGTTTGGTCAAGCCTAAGAGATTGTCCAAAAATGGTTGACCCAGAAGCTACGACAGCAAGGAATATATGTGCAGAGTGCTGGCATATTAACCACTGTACAATTTAGTAACCTATTCAACTCTCTTAAGACAAACACTTACCAAAAAGAAAAAGAACTCTTTCAACACAAACTGACTTTATTATAGAATGACAAACCAATTGAGAGAAGTATTTTGATAGAAAAAGTAACAATATCATATGAAACCAATGGTAGGTGACATTATCTTAATGCTACTGGATACATACATGCATGCGATGATTGAAGTTGTCATTTATTATATATGGTTGAAGCTGGTTTGAGGGCACAAGTTTCCTTCTCAGATTAATCTTCTCACACAATTTAATATTATGTTGTATGTAATGCTTAACTGGATTTGCTAGACTAAAATGACTTGGAAGGCCTATAAAAGGGAGCAAATGCTCTTGTAATCAACCACTGCACTCACTGATTAAGAGTTAAGACAAGTGCCTAGCATATTAGTCACACAAAGGGATTAAGAACAGGATGAAGATGAGAGCTTTTGTTGTAGTTTGTTTGGCACTGTTCTGTATCCTAGGGGTTTGTCAAGGTGGCAACCTTAGAAAAAAATTCTACAAGCGGACATGTTCTCAAGCCGAGGACATTGTTAGGACCAAAATCCAGGAACATGTCTCTGCAAGGCCTGAATTGCCTGCGAAGTTGATCAGACTGCATTTTCATGATTGTTTTGTCAGGGTAAACATTCATAGTTCCTGCTCTTTAATAATTTTTGTTACACCCTATGTGCCTCATTTCAAATTTAAATACAACAGAGCTAATTTAGAGTTACACACCGATTCACACGACATGGTTGTGATTGTAATCAACATTTCAGGGTTGTGATGGTTCGGTTTTGCTGGACTCCACTGACAGCAACACAGCAGAAAAGGATTCGATTCCGAACTTATCTCTGTCGGGCTTCGATGTCATTGATGACATAAAAGCATCATTGGAGGAAAAATGTCCTGGAACTGTATCATGTGCTGACATACTTGCATTGGCCGCCAGGGATGCTGTTTCTGTCCAGGTATATGCAAAACCTAAACATTATACATACTACAATCTTGTGTTATGCATGTAGCTGACTGGTAATATTTGCAGTTCAATAAGCCTATGTGGGAAGTGCTTACCGGTAGAAGGGATGGGAGGGTATCCATAAGTGGTGAAGCCTTAGCCAATCTGCCAGCCCCTTTTTTCAACATCACCCAGCTCAGACAAAGCTTTGCGAGTAAAAAGCTCACAGTGCATGATCTGGTTGTGTTATCAGGTACATTTTCTGTGCAAAATTGTGTTAAATGTACATAATATGAATGACAAATAAACCTGTTGGCTACGTGTTTGTATATATATATAGGAGCACACACAATTGGGGTAGGTCATTGCAACTTATTCAGTAACAGGCTTTTCAACTTCACCGGAAAGGGTGATCAAGATCCTTCTCTGAATCCTACTTATGCAACTCTTTTGAAGACAAAATGTCAAAGTCTGAGTGACACCACCACTACAGTAGAGATGGATCCTGACAGTTCAAGCACCTTTGACAATGACTATTATTCTATCCTTCTTCAAAACAAGGGTCTATTCCAATCAGATGCTGCCCTTTTAACAGCCAAGGTCTCAAGAAACATTGTGAATGAATTGACCAAACAAGACAAGTTCTTCACAGAGTTTGGGCAGTCAATGAAGAGAATGGGAGCGATTGAGGTCCTCACCGGCTCGGATGGTGAAATTAGAACCAAGTGCTCTGTTGTCAACTCTTAATGAACTCTTTTCTTTTCATTTCTTCTGTTTCTTTTCCTACATTCTTTCTTTGAGAAGCCATTCAGTTATATTTTCTTTGTACACCTTCAAAATTATTTCAGGAATAAAGGTTGTGTTTAATTAATAGTACCAACTTCTCTTCATTGACTTCACATTTATATTGAATAGCTTGAGAGATTTTTAACATTATTCTACTCACGCATAGCTTGGTCTAATTTTTGGAGGAATGATTTAAGTAGATTTGCGAGTTTCTCACTTTTGTAATCACCCACTAAAACACAGACAGATTTGGGGTGATTTATATTGAAATGTTGTCTTTACCTTCCCTAGTTTAAAGAAATACCACTATCAAATTACAGTATTTGAATCCAAGGATTTTATAATCGATTCCAACCGATTAATAATACTAATAATAAAGGATGGTTTGAGATTCATGGTGCATAGCTTTATCTTTTGTAAACTATTAAGAACTTTGTTACTGTGCATGCCCTAGCCGACCACGAGTAACATTGTTACTGTGCCTTCCTAGCTGAGAATCACGAGTAATTGTGTTACTTTGGTTGGCTTATGCAGAGATTCGATTCTCTGCCTGCTTGACACAACCACACAGAAAGATTCCTGGCAGCAATGCAGTGGTAGCTTTGAATTTCAATTGTTTTGACCACGGAAGAGCATTGATAAGACAGTTTGGTTGGTATATATGGTTGATTTGTGTTATAAGTGTGAGTGTATCTTCTATTGACTGAGGCAGAAAGAGAACGCATCTCATCTCATTTGTCACTTGTGTGGTGTGGTGTGTTGTGCTTGTGCTTGTGCTTGTGAAGAAGTGTCGTGTACTGAGTGAACAAGTTTGTGTTCGTTGCAGTGAAGACGAGGATAGTCATTCTTTTTGTGTGAAGCTATGTTTTTTTGCAGGTTGGAGGAATGTTTGGTTGGAGATGATAAAGGTTGATGGCTAAAGACGAAGATGAAGGCTCTTGAAGATGAAGACCATGAAGATCAGAGGTCGAAGAAGGAGTTGAATTGATATTTGTTCTGTTTCTTTTCCTACATTTTTTCTTTGAGAAACAATTGAGTTAAATTTGCTTTGTACACCTTCAAAAATGATTTCAGGAATAAAGGTTATGTTTAATTAATAGTACCAACTTCTCTTCATTGACTTCACATTTCTATTATATATCTTGAGAGATTTTTAACATCGTTCTCCTCTGAGAGTGGATCCCATAGACTGAACATGATCGATATGACAATATTTATTAATCATTATTTATTTATGATAATATCAATAATCCTTAAATACAAATTAACAAAAACTACTTCAACTTTAATAATTTATCTNTCATATTAAAACATTTTAATATTAAAATATTTGAATTTTACTATTTTAAATACAATACCAAGTCTAAAAATATAATTTTCTAAATCTTTACATGAATTATTTAAAATAGAAAAAGTTGATGTTATCCATTAGAAAAGATGATAAAGGAATATTAAGTTAAAATATTCTATTTCATAGAATAATGCATTATTTAAAAATATTATAAGTATAATGACAGTGCTATCTTTAAATTTAAGTTAAATGTAATTGTACATTAATTAAATTCATCAAAATATAGCAAAATAGCTCTATATAATTTAGCTAATGTATATAGAAAAGAAAATATTTATATTTATTCTGTACATTTGATAATTAAACTAGAAACGATTGTTTTAAGCAACCATGAAACGCGGGACTAGCATACAGAGAGAAAAAACTTGGATGTTTGCGAAGCCTTTGACATATGCATAACATTAACCTGGCCGCTGAATTTTTCTAAATCCTCTGCACATGCTTTCAAATACTTTAAGTGTAGTTGACATTCGATAACGATAATTGTTCAACTACCTGACTTATGCAAATCACTTAATATTCAAACATGGAATTTGTTGTCTTGATGAATGGGAGAAAACGTGTTCGATCAAATCATTGTTTTTCCCTGAAAACCTTCAACTATACTTTTGTCTAATTCGTCTTCCAAGCTGAAGGGACACAATCATGTACATTTAACTTGTAAAACTACACTCACTACTACAAAACTAGAGAGGGTTTGGTCAAGCCTAAGAGATTGTCCAAAAATGGTTGACCCAGAAGCTACGACAGCAAGGAATATATGTGCAGAGTGCTGGCATATTAACCACTGTACAATTTAGTAACCTATTCAACTCTCTTAAGACAAACACTTACCAAAAAGAAAAAGAACTCTTTCAACACAAACTGACTTTATTATAGAATGACAAACCAATTGAGAGAAGTATTTTGATAGAAAAAGTAACAATATCATATGAAACCAATGGTAGGTGACATTATCTTAATGCTACTGGATACATACATGCATGCGATGATTGAAGTTGTCATTTATTATATATGGTTGAAGCTGGTTTGAGGGCACAAGTTTCCTTCTCAGATTAATCTTCTCACACAATTTAATATTATGTTGTATGTAATGCTTAACTGGATTTGCTAGACTAAAATGACTTGGAAGGCCTATAAAAGGGAGCAAATGCTCTTGTAATCAACCACTGCACTCACTGATTAAGAGTTAAGACAAGTGCCTAGCATATTAGTCACACAAAGGGATTAAGAACAGGATGAAGATGAGAGCTTTTGTTGTAGTTTGTTTGGCACTGTTCTGTATCCTAGGGGTTTGTCAAGGTGGCAACCTTAGAAAAAAATTCTACAAGCGGACATGTTCTCAAGCCGAGGACATTGTTAGGACCAAAATCCAGGAACATGTCTCTGCAAGGCCTGAATTGCCTGCGAAGTTGATCAGACTGCATTTTCATGATTGTTTTGTCAGGGTAAACATTCATAGTTCCTGCTCTTTAATAATTTTTGTTACACCCTATGTGCCTCATTTCAAATTTAAATACAACAGAGCTAATTTAGAGTTACACACCGATTCACACGACATGGTTGTGATTGTAATCAACATTTCAGGGTTGTGATGGTTCGGTTTTGCTGGACTCCACTGACAGCAACACAGCAGAAAAGGATTCGATTCCGAACTTATCTCTGTCGGGCTTCGATGTCATTGATGACATAAAAGCATCATTGGAGGAAAAATGTCCTGGAACTGTATCATGTGCTGACATACTTGCATTGGCCGCCAGGGATGCTGTTTCTGTCCAGGTATATGCAAAACCTAAACATTATACATACTACAATCTTGTGTTATGCATGTAGCTGACTGGTAATATTTGCAGTTCAATAAGCCTATGTGGGAAGTGCTTACCGGTAGAAGGGATGGGAGGGTATCCATAAGTGGTGAAGCCTTAGCCAATCTGCCAGCCCCTTTTTTCAACATCACCCAGCTCAGACAAAGCTTTGCGAGTAAAAAGCTCACAGTGCATGATCTGGTTGTGTTATCAGGTACATTTTCTGTGCAAAATTGTGTTAAATGTACATAATATGAATGACAAATAAACCTGTTGGCTACGTGTTTGTATATATATATAGGAGCACACACAATTGGGGTAGGTCATTGCAACTTATTCAGTAACAGGCTTTTCAACTTCACCGGAAAGGGTGATCAAGATCCTTCTCTGAATCCTACTTATGCAACTCTTTTGAAGACAAAATGTCAAAGTCTGAGTGACACCACCACTACAGTAGAGATGGATCCTGACAGTTCAAGCACCTTTGACAATGACTATTATTCTATCCTTCTTCAAAACAAGGGTCTATTCCAATCAGATGCTGCCCTTTTAACAGCCAAGGTCTCAAGAAACATTGTGAATGAATTGACCAAACAAGACAAGTTCTTCACAGAGTTTGGGCAGTCAATGAAGAGAATGGGAGCGATTGAGGTCCTCACCGGCTCGGATGGTGAAATTAGAACCAAGTGCTCTGTTGTCAACTCTTAATGAACTCTTTTCTTTTCATTTCTTCTGTTTCTTTTCCTACATTCTTTCTTTGAGAAGCCATTCAGTTATATTTTCTTTGTACACCTTCAAAATTATTTCAGGAATAAAGGTTGTGTTTAATTAATAGTACCAACTTCTCTTCATTGACTTCACATTTATATTGAATAGCTTGAGAGATTTTTAACATTATTCTACTCACGCATAGCTTGGTCTAATTTTTGGAGGAATGATTTAAGTAGATTTGCGAGTTTCTCACTTTTGTAATCACCCACTAAAACACAGACAGATTTGGGGTGATTTATATTGAAATGTTGTCTTTACCTTCCCTAGTTTAAAGAAATACCACTATCAAATTACAGTATTTGAATCCAAGGATTTTATAATCGATTCCAACCGATTAATAATACTAATAATAAAGGATGGTTTGAGATTCATGGTGCATAGCTTTATCTTTTGTAAACTATTAAGAACTTTGTTACTGTGCATGCCCTAGCCGACCACGAGTAACATTGTTACTGTGCCTTCCTAGCTGAGAATCACGAGTAATTGTGTTACTTTGGTTGGCTTATGCAGAGATTCGATTCTCTGCCTGCTTGACACAACCACACAGAAAGATTCCTGGCAGCAATGCAGTGGTAGCTTTGAATTTCAATTGTTTTGACCACGGAAGAGCATTGATAAGACAGTTTGGTTGGTATATATGGTTGATTTGTGTTATAAGTGTGAGTGTATCTTCTATTGACTGAGGCAGAAAGAGAACGCATCTCATCTCATTTGTCACTTGTGTGGTGTGGTGTGTTGTGCTTGTGCTTGTGCTTGTGAAGAAGTGTCGTGTACTGAGTGAACAAGTTTGTGTTCGTTGCAGTGAAGACGAGGATAGTCATTCTTTTTGTGTGAAGCTATGTTTTTTTGCAGGTTGGAGGAATGTTTGGTTGGAGATGATAAAGGTTGATGGCTAAAGACGAAGATGAAGGCTCTTGAAGATGAAGACCATGAAGATCAGAGGTCGAAGAAGGAGTTGAATTGATATTTGTTCTGTTTCTTTTCCTACATTTTTTCTTTGAGAAACAATTGAGTTAAATTTGCTTTGTACACCTTCAAAAATGATTTCAGGAATAAAGGTTATGTTTAATTAATAGTACCAACTTCTCTTCATTGACTTCACATTTCTATTATATAGCTTGAGAGATTTTTAACATCGTTCTCCTCTGAGAGTGGATCCCATAGACTGAACATGACCGATATGACAATATTTATTAATCATTATTTATTTATGATAATATCAATAATCCTTAAATACAAATTAACAAAAACTACTTCAACTTTAATAATTTATCTATTAATCATTAAGTATGTGTTCACTTGAAAGATGTGATTTGAGAAAAAGAGAAAAATGATGAATTTGAAGGTATTTTGGAGTAATTGTTTGATGTTTTTTTTTTAAGAATTTGAAGATGAGTAAAAGTGAAATTGAAAATAAAATTTATAAAAGTTTAGGAAGGATTGAACTAATGAAATATATTAAAAAAATATTTTAATAAATAAAAAATAAAGATAATCAAATTGTCCTTAGTAATAATAATATAAAATGATATTTATAAATAAAATAATTTTTGGTAAAAATAATTTTAAATAGTAGAATAAAAAATAATAAAATAATTAAAAGAAAAAAAATGATATATTATTATGTTTAGTTTTCTCCAAGCTGGTTTAAAGATATTAATAACTGAAAAAGAAAATTAAAGTATGCCGGCTTTAAAAATTATTTAAAAGAGAAATATGCATATCTAAAACGGTTAAGATATACTTGATATTTATTATTTTATTTCATATTTATTTTTTCCACTCTTGTTACTAATATTTGTTGATGTGTACTGTAATATTCATTGTGCAGTCAAATATAATACAAGATAGGAAAAATAAAGAACATGATAAGAGTTAAGATTACTTTTAATTTATACCATACAATAATTGCTTATATATTTCATAAGAACAAACTAATGACATAATGCAATATAAAAATATGACAAAATTGCTTTTTTTTATAATTTTGACACGTTAAAATTGTAATTTCCTTCAAATATTAAAAATGAACAGGTTTATTTAAAGACGACATTGTTATTTTAATAAATAAATTAATTAATTAGTTTAATTATGCATAATAACGTTATTATAATTAAAAATGTTTAACTAAGTTATACGTTTATGATAAATGTTAATATTTTTAATTAAACTTGTATTCAATTGTGTTAATATTTTTCAATTAATCGGATGATGTTTGATTATTATTTTATTTTATATTTTATTAATATCGGTTTATTCTAGACTACGTCAGTCCCATTCGAGACTACGTTGATCCCATTCGAGACGACGTCTAAGTCGTAAAAAATTTAATATTGACACCCAAAATGAAGTATTTTTGCACCATTTTGACGTCTGTGGGGGAACCGACGTCTAATTCAAATTAAATGTAGGAGACCTGTATTCGATGTTTAAAGTCAAAAAAATTATGATTTTTCAGTTCTATTGGCAGATCATTTAACGTTTGTGGGGTGGGGGAGCTTACGTCTATAACATATTTTGCTTCGGAAACCCGTAGTCGACATCTATAATGTCGTTTTATTTACAAAATTATCATCGATCATTTTTTTATGTTACACGTTACACGTTACACGCGTGACGTTAAACGCGTGATGTTAAATACTACTTTTGCATTAGTGACCAGTGTTCTTCGATTTTTAAAGAGATGACTATGAAATTAGAAGAGTTAAAAAAACTTAAAGAGAAGTGTGAAAACTTTAGAAAAATGATTTTTAGATATAGTGTTTTATAATAATATAACTTAGTTTACAAAATTTCTATTTATATTAAAAAAAATTAATATTAAATAATCAAGTTTCACAATTTTTAACCCATTATCAGTTTTTAAAATAAAATTTTCTAAATCTTTAGATGAATTATTTAAAATACAAAAGTTGATGTTATGATAAAGGAATATCATCAAGTAACTTAAAATATTCTATTTCATAGAATAATGCATTATTTTAAAATATTCTAAGTATAATTATAGTGCTATGTTTAAATTTAAGTTAAATGTAATTGTACATTAATTAAATTCATTAAAATATAGAAAAAATAGTTGTATATAATTTAGCTATTGTTCATAGAAAAGAAAAATATTTATATTTATTCTGTACGTTTGACAATTAAGCTAGAAACGTTTCCTAATTGAAGTTTTAAGCAATCATGAAACACGGGACTAGAATACACACGACAAAGTTGAGAGAAAAAACTTGAATGTTTGCGAAGCCTTTGACATATGCATAACATTAACCTGGCAGCTGAATTTTTCTAAATCCTCTGCACATGATTCAAATACTTTAAGTGTAATTGACATTCGATAACGATAATTGTTCAACTACCTAACTTATGCAAATCACTTAATATTCAAACATGGAATTTGTTGTCCTGATGAATGGGCGAAAACGTGTGGCTCGATCAAATCATTGTTTTTCCCTGAAAAACTTAAACTATACTTTTTGTCTAATTTGTCTGCCAAACTTAAGGGACACAGTCATGTACATTTAACTTGTAAAACTACACTCACTACTACAAAACTAAAGAGGGATTGGTCAAGCCAAGAGAATGTCCAAAAATGGTTGACCCAGA